TACCTATGCAACTAACCTTAGAACAAGAATATATGAACAAAGATAAAAGGAGTGAGCTCATGCTTGCTCAATGACATTCCAAAACTAGCTAACCCAAGCCTAAATTTCAAGGGAAGTTTAATAAGATGAACAATATGTTCAAAAAAAGAGGAAACAAGTCCTACAATCAAGAATCTAAACTAAGACGGCAAAAATTCTTTTTATCTGGTCAGCCTAGTCACTTCAAGAATCGTCGCCCATATAATGGAAACCCGTAAAATCCAAAGAATAGCGGAAATTGAAGCAAGAGGTATGAAGTTATTTGTGTGGCTTCTGAGTGCCTGATGGCAGACCATGACATCATTGGATGGTGAGTAGGCTCAGTTGCTAATCGGCATATTGCAACATCAAAATGCCTCTTCGAGGACTTCAAAGAAATAAAAGCTGGGGAGAAACACATCTAAATGGGAAACAATACATATTGTAATGTATTAGGTGTAAGAACTTGTAGGTTATATGTAGGGACAATCGACTTTGTATTAACTGATGTATATTTTGTTCTTTGTATGAGACAAAATATTGTATCAGTCCCCTTGCTCATTAAAATGAACTTTGAAGTCCGCTTCCAATCATTGAAAGTATCAATTGGGAAGCGTGGACAAATTTATGATTGGGGACACTTGGTTGATGATCACAACTTGTTCATTCTTCATGTAAATGAGAAAGTTGATAATAAAATTTTAACTTATTCTGGTTATATTGATTATGTAATGGTTGTTGATATATATACTTGGCTTCTTTGGCTTGGCCACATAGGAAAAGGAAAAGTAAATATGTTAATAAAGAAATGTCTTATTCCAAATCTAAATAATGTGGAATTTCCAACCTGTCAGTACTGCTTGTCATGAAAAATGACTAGGAAATCATTCAATAAATGGGAGAGAGCTAATGAGTTATTGAATGTGGTCCACTCAGACATTCGTGGGCCCTTCAATATTAAAACTCATAGAGGGATGTCATTCTTCATCACTTTTATTGATGATTTCTTTAGATTTGGATATGTTTATCTAGTCCACCATAAGTAAGAAGCTTTAGAAAATTTTAAAATATATAAAAAAGAAGTAGAAAACCAATTAGGTAGGAACATCAAAGTTCTTAGAATTGAAGGGGGAGAAGAATACAAATCTGAAGCTTTCATTATTTATTGTCAAGAATACGGTATTAAAAGACATACCACTATGACTTATACACCACAACAAAATAGAATAGCTTGAAGGCGTAATAGAACACTCTTAGAAATGACTAGATCTATAATGGCTCATTCTAATCTACCCAAGAACTTTTAGGGAGAAATAATAAGCATATCCATGTATATTCTTAATATAGTTCAAACTAAGACAATAGATTCTACCCCTTATGAACTGTTGATAGGTAAAAAACCTGATCTATCCACCTTAAAGAAGTAAGGATCGACTACTCATGTCAGAATTCCATATCAGCATAGAAATAAGTTAAAAAACAAAACTCCAATTTGTAATTTTATAGGATACCTCGAAAGATCAAAGGGATATCGATTTTATCATAAAGATAAGTGAATTATTGAAAGCAGAGATGCTGAGTTCCTAGAAGATTTTATTGAAAAAAACTTATATATAGTGGATAATGATAATCCACTTAATATCACATATGATTTAGAACCACTACCTACAATAGACATGGATAGCCCTAATCAACATAATGATGTTGAAGTACTTACACACCCAATGTTAAGTGATCAAAAGAGGTCTAAAGCTCCTCCATCATACCTTGAAGATTTTTATGTCTATATGAATGAGGAGATAGATAACTTTATTGACTTAGATGAAATCCATGATCCTTTTGACTTCAATGATGCTATGAAGTTACAAGAATCTCGATAATGACATAATATCATGAGAGAATAATTGGATTCTGTTGAAAAATTAAGGTTTGGGATCTATGTGATTTGCCATCAGATAAGGAACC